GTCATTGGTGATTTATTATACCGCCTTAAGAGAAGTGAATAATGCGTTATTTTTTTCCTGCTGCCATTTGTCATGGTTCGTTGTAAAGGAAGCGCATCGATTTTGCTATTAATACGTGCCTTTTCCTGTCTTCGCTCTCCTGGCTAACTTAACTGATGTCGTGATTGCTGGTGAGTGAAAAAATTGATAGAAATTAATAAAGAATTCAGAACGTTGATCGAAGTCAGTAAGACAAAGCCAGAGAGTTGCGTGGCTCAATGTCGCATGTCGTATATATCTATCGACCTCGTTCTGCCTTTTGTACCCCTGGTGGAAAGTCGGTAGCGTCACATTGTTTTAAATGCGGAGCATTTCTTTTAGTCGCACCATGTCGCAGATCCGGCGTCGGCGGCGCCATCCACAACTCCACTGCGCATGCTCACGCCTCATGTATCGTGCCGCGTGCCTGCCTTTCGTGCAAATTGTTTGCTTACCCCCTCTCCCCCTTTGTCTCTCGCCTTGCAAGGCCGACGCAGCCAACGTCTAATAATATTACGTGATTTATTTCAGGCACACAGTGAGTCTTGGATGCAAGGCAAAAGGCTACATATTCACCCAATCAGCAGTGCAATGCTCAACTCTGTCAAGTGAAGGGTGAAAGTCCAATCGAGAAGCGTTTGTTAATACGGGGGTTAGTATCTAGAGCTGTGTAACTTAGTAAAATACACACAACTCCACAGCCGACAGCAGCTATGTATATCGGGGGAAGTTTCGTTTATATATGCAGTGGCAGGTTGAGGCTATCAGCAAATGCATTGGATCCAATGAAATTATTTTCTTTTAGTAATTTTTGTGACCAAAATGGCATCACCAGATACTTACTGTGACGTAACTAGATATAATCAAGCACAACAGGGAGAGATAACTAGAGAAAGCAAAGGGGCACGCTTAGCTGCTAGTAAAGGTTGCTAGTAAAGACCGACTGCTCGCACCGCACAACCGTTCACTGGCCACCCCCTATATGTAGGCACTGGATTGCACATCCGGAATTCAGTCAAGAATGTCTCTACTTGGCTTTCGTTTGACTTTACGCTTTACTTGATTCGAGTAGATGCAATGAATTCAGCAGTGGTATAGTAGTGGGGAACAGCCCAACATCAGCGTCCCATCACTTGTTGAAGGCAACGCTTTTACTTCATTCAATAAATAAGAATAATGAAGACGAAATAACAATTAAGCATTCCTAAACCATACCAAATTACACAGCATTCACGCGATACCCCACCACTTTGCGACGCATTCGCTCGAGTTCCCCCCGTGGGTAGATGCGGGCAGCTTTTTGCAATTTTCCGAGTCTATGACAGTATGCTGAATGAATGGCCCCCGGAAGGCTTCTGTTTCCACATGTGAGCTATGCTACTCTGGATTTCGTGCACATGTAGGAAAACAAACTATAGCGGTGTATCGACCACTGTGACTCCCATGCTGCTGGAGCTCATTCTCTGCGGGTAATTGCAATACCATAAACGTATACCACGTACTCGAATCATAAAGAAATGGCATATATGTGACATATTTCAAGCAACGACATATGTCAAGCAACGTATAGTGCGTTGAAAAATATAATTTTTAAGGCAAAACTTCCTTGGCGAACTTTGCTGGCTTTTCCTGATAGCGGAGGCAGCCTCTGGTCTACTGACTGACCATCTATGTGACAATACCGATTGTTGGCCTAGTTGGTACTAATTGTGTGTGTGTTATTTACGGCCAAAGCATGACCATATATGGGCGGAGTAATCTAACCGCTGCCTGGTTTGCCCTATGTATGACTAGTCGTTCCTAACCTCCACTTTGCCACTTCCGGTTGCCTAAGTGGCCACACCATGTCCGGCTTACTGCTATAAACCTGCTTCCCCAATTCTTAACTATAATTGTTTCAATCATTCCAGTTACAATCTATAATCGACGCTGCAGTCTTCGTATATGATAACAAGTCACACCTTTCAGTTTCCTGCAATTGTTTGCAGTACAGTACGTTTTCTGAACTACCTTCACGCACTGTTTTTGTCTCAATTGGTCGGAGCTGGTCACGAGTGTGTGCTTTTTGGAATTGCGACGTATGTACCCCCGCTTAATTCGGTAAAACCTCGGTAATACAAATCTTATGGGGTCACCCAAAGTATTCGTATCATCCGAAATTCGTGTCGCCAGAAGATATGAAAATTAGCAAGCAATAAAAGAAATCTGGCATACATTTACATTTATTGCTTTTCAGAGGAGAAGCAACGTCATGAACAGTTTTTACTGATTGTCAGCACCGAGGAAGGGAAGAGAGAAGATAGTATGCCCAACCGGCGCGCCGCGGGAAATGTGGAGATAACGACGTCATGGCGGCGTTGCTAAGGTTACGTGTTGTGCAGTGTAGCTAGTCTAGCAGAGAGCGATGGCGGCATGTGCGCCTTTGTAGGCCTCCTACTGACCCGTGGCGTAGAATATTTGAGTTTTTAGCTACGCGATGTTCTCCCAGCCGTTATTGTATTCCTGGAAACGTTCACAGAACCTGTTGTTTGCCACGGGACCTCAATAGTGGGCATAGAAAAGGAGCGTATATTCATGCGAGTGCCGGGCGTCGGACGAACTATTTGAAGTGCTCAACAAAATTTCGTTCGGCCACCATGAATGACAAAGGAGAACCACGATGAACGCCTTGCAGGTCAGTGACAGATGCGCGGTGTTCTTGTTGGTGACAATGGACGAAACATTTTTTGCCGAGGACGTTATGTTCACATATGTAGTTTTGTGTTTGCTTGCATACAGTTACAACTTGCATGTGCCTGTTAACACATTCACTGTCTCGCTTGCTATGTTTACCTCTTACTCACCCTTACTCAGGTTTTACTATGCTGCAGTGCAACGCATTAAAGAATTGCTGCCTTCATCTTCGAACAACAAAAGTTGCGAAATACGACTGCATCCAGCTTTGTGATAACAGAAGCAAGAGTCGTGTATTCGTAAATTGCTCTTGCACATAGAGCTTTCAACACTGATGTTTGTTTACATGCTTGTGATGCCCAAGTCCATGTTGTGACGACAAGTCTTTCAGTTTCATGATATTTCTCGCTGTATTTGGCTTGTTCTGTTCGAAGTGGTTAAGCATTTCGTTTTAATATTTCTAGTGTGGGTGACAATTGACTACTGTAGTCACGTGCATGTACGAGATTACTTCAGTTATACCAAAACTGAAGTATTTCGAGTCGGTCCAAAGTTAGCCAAAGTTTTTAAAAATGGTGAAGATACTTTCTTAAATATGTTGAAATTCTAGGGCTTTTTTTTGAGAATGGTTGTCCTAATAATAAAAAGCTATTAGAATGATATTCTATTTTTATTCAATTTGGATTCAGTATCATCAGTATTCCATTCGTACTTGATTCAGTTCCGAACTTCACTATTCGCACGCCCCTAGTTCTGAGACATCAACAATTATGTGTATACTTTCTTAAATTAAATGTTTTGAAATTCTAGGGCTTCTTTGAGAATGGTCGTCCCAATAATAGAAAGCTATTAGAACGTTATTCCATATTCATTCAATTTGGATTCAGTATCATCAGTATTACATTCATACTTAATTCAGTTCTGAACTTTACTATTTGCACGCCCCTAGTTTTGAGACCAACAATTATGCGTGTACTTGTAGACAAATGGCACATGTACACTTGTGTATATAATGAACCAGATGTTATGTGACATGCTATAGCTAGTAGCCCTTTCCCAGTATAAGTATGCTTTATTGCATTGCAGTAAAGTACTGCGGCAAAACAGACTTAAGAAGCGTTTTGCACGTGATAGAAGCAGACCAGAAATTTTTAGAACCGCAACCTTTTCTCTTTATTAATTCTTTTTTTCATGGTAGTGTTATGGATATAATCATAATCTGGACATTTATGGTCGTGTCCACACAATCGCGAGGTTTACCCAAAATTTAGGAGCATGGGTTGACGTTGAGCGACCTAGCTTCTTTGCCAAGATCGTCCACTTCTTTCGGTTTTCATAATCCTTTAGTGGGATGTCTCATTGTGATATGCCTTACTCTGACGTGGCAGCTGCGTGTAAATCTAGTGCAACGACACTACCTGGAGCACAGGAGCACGTGTAAACGCGTTTGAGAGAGAGATAGAGAGAGAAAAGAGACGTCAAGCGTCATCTGCAGTCTAAACGCAAAAGAAAATGAAGGAAGTTTGAAGGGGCTCTGAAACACTTCTATAAGTAGCCTTGGAATGGACACACTAAAAGAGCTTATTGCCTCAAATTTGCCGCCGCAAGAATGTTTGGAATCCGTCCAGTACGAGCGTAGTTACAAAGATTTGTCGCACGTTGCAATCGCATTCTCTCTCCTCTCGTACCGAAGAAAGCGCTAGAAGCTAAACAGGAAGAGATGGCACCGGGGAAGAAAATACTTCACACACGCATCATGATCTTGAGCACTTTTTGTCTTCTTTTTTCATTCAAATACGCGGCTTTTTAGTGCAATCTCGCGCACACGCGTTAAAGCCTTCTATCAAGGGGCTTTAGCACGCATGGGCAAGTAGCGGCCTCCTGTGGCGGCTCCTCTAACAACCGAGCGTGCCATGTTCAACAGGCAATGGCTTACACTTGGTCAGTTATGCAGTAATTTTTTAGCCTGTAGCATCAATTGTCGATAGAAGGGAGAACGATTTTTTCTTGATTGAGATGTTACTGTAAACTCCATGCAGCGTTTTCTCAGTATTCTCAAAAAGTGTCACACCGCCCCTTTAAAAGGTCAAGGTTGTCCCGCGCTATCTTGAATTGAATCTACGGTGCACTGCTGATGGGCAACTGGCGGTTTGGCACACATGCCTACGCTTTTGGCTTCTGTCATGTTGTGCGCGGTATTTTCGTGTGGTGCGCGGTGGTTGTGGTATTGTGCTGTGTGGTGCGTCGATGAAGACGATGACAAGACAGGCTGGAAGACGAAATCAGGATCTAACTCAAATGCTCCGTAGTGTGTCTTGAAACGGTTTAATTGAGACCAGCGTCGTGTAGCTTTGAGTTCTGTTGCAAAGATGTCACCAACGCATGCTGACGTACTATACAAGCATATCATGGTATTATCCCGCAAACAGCAGCCAGCATTTCACGACAGGCATGAGTTAAACCAGTCCTGTGTTTATGTACGCCGTGTCTATGTATGTCATTTAAGGTGCAGTACAAACTTTGTACAATTTGAACATTTCAATATGCGATTCTGTAAAATCTCAACACGCACAATCATTTATTTATATTGCAGAGCAGTATGCAGAACTTGCATTTTAGGTGAAACACAAGATGTGCCCTTAATTATCACTCTACTGGCCTGTACTAGGACATGCGTACTACCTTATTGAAAAGGTATGCAACCTAAGTTCTCTCAGTCATGTGGTGGCGAACCAAGATCACACGGAAAAGCACACGGAAATGTGCCAACAAAATTTTAGCTCATCACAAGGCAGCCCATGACTGTTGTCGCATGCTACTTTCTCCCAAAGATGTTCACTCATTCATAACATGACTGTTACGAGTCAACTGCTAGTTGGTCTTCGGTAAGAACGATCTTTTCACCAGGCTTGAATGCAGGTAAGCCTCGATATGGACAGCTGGCACAACGAAAGGCATCGCCGAGGTAGCACTGAAGAAGATAAAAGAAAATTGCCACGTTGTATGTTATACCACAGTATTGTAAACTTTCACATGCATAGAATGCACCTTTAGAAGGACATAACAAATTCAGTGCGATCTGCTATCACAAGTCCTTGACAATGCTAGGAGGATCCAAAAACTATCTGCACTCTAGTTGTGCACATCCCCATAGTGCACTTTTACTACGATGTCACTATGCATCCCATCACAGTGTGGCAGGTTTTCAAACACTAACACTGATATCAGTTCAGTTTAGCGACACACACAGACTAAACTGATGGCTGCCTCCTTGCACTGGAAAAAAAGAAAGCAATGTGCATGAAGGCATTCTTCGAGTTTGATAAACATGTCCATCGCTTTTGGAGATCTTGTGCATAGTGATACGAAAGTGTTTTGCAGCAATAAGCTGTTTAAAGTACATACAGAATTGTGTGCAAGTTTTAAAGGAAGAAAGCACAACTCTCAGTCATAAGAAAAGAGCTAGACAAACATCTACACAGATGACAATGTCAAGCATGCACATGCACAATCCTATTCTGTCAAACCCTCCTTACTAGACGGCCAAAAGTGAAAAACTGGACACTGATGTCCACAGTAAGTTATTTGTCCTCTAAGAGGTTTAGCTAAAAATCCTACACTGAGTGCAAACAATTTATTAATGTACTTTATACTTTTGGCTATCTGTCAGGGCTACTGACCAGTTTCCCATCAGTGGTTCTGAGCAACTCAAAATTTGTTACTGTGCTTACATTTCCACACGAAGACTTCTGCTGCTGAGAGGCAGCAGCCTTGGCAGCTGCTTCACGGTCTAGTTCTTCAGCAAGACCGCATGTACAGTTTTTGCAAGCACGTCGCTTCTTCTCACCACCACATGCTGCAGCAAAAGAATCACATGCAATTTAAACCTGATCACACTTGCATGCCAACCGAATTAGCCTCTGTTATGACTAATGCTACTGCCCTGAAATATGTTCAATTGCTATGATGACAGTCTGACACAGTGCCACTTCTCTAAGCACTGCAGAGACAATTTCCACAATCAACTTTTGGTTATGCATAGAAGTGGAATTATCTTAATTTGACAGGCTAATTTTCAAGCAATTTCTATGGGCCCAAATTTTTGTTGTTTGCATCAAAAAATTACGTTTTGCAGGATAATTCCAACTAGGCTGGTCATATAACATGTGGCCAACTAGAACAGTGAACTCAACAGTGGCTCCAAGAACGGCAGTGTAAGACTAATCTGCACTTAGCGTACAGTAAATATGTCAACACACACTTTCCATCAAAATGTTTTACTTTTGACCAACCTTAAGGGGGGACATGGGACCCGATAGTGATATATATTAGTATTAGGCCTAGAGACATGATGTTTTCAGGAAATATTCAGCTTTGTACACTGATTGAAAATATGTAATTACATTTTCTTTACTTCAATCCAAAAAAAAGTTACAACTATACTTATTTTATGAATTTGGGGTGTGACTTGCATAAAAAGTAATACATCAAAAGAGCTATAATTGAACCTGTATATCGCTGAATATTCAAATAGTACAAATATTCAATTTCATGCTAATATCTAAATTTTACCCAAAGTTATGAAGTTTTTACGTCGCAGTCCGTCAGCTCTGAATTTTTGCTGGGGATTTTTGGAAATTTTCAAAATTTTACAATGTCCTTAATTATTTTATCAAGGTTTTCTTGCACACTTCAATACCCTAGCATTCAAACAAAAAAAGATCAAGAAAATCGAATCAATATTAGTGACACAGTGCTCATCCCAAAAAACTGAAAAAGTTGTGAAAATGAAAATTTCATGCATAAAAGCCACATCACTTGTATTCACAATCACTCAGAAAGCCCCTGTGGAGTAGTCTGAAGCAGGCTTTTGCTTGTGCTTCATTGCGGCTGCCTGAAGATGCACGTTTCCTCTCCGAGCCGACGGCACGGCGATAGTCTTTCTCGACCGCCCGCTGGTTACCTGTGCATGTTTGATCTAGCCACAGTTCACGAAAAATAAGCGAACTAGATTCTTTGTTTCCCAAGTTGAAATGCATAACAGCATCTGCCATGGCAGTCTCAACGGCAAACAATGACGCGTTCTTGTCCTTTGGTGAGAGGCTCCAAATGACCGAATGCAAGGCCTCATTCGCATTCTGCGTCTTCTCTCTGGTGCATCTCTGCAGGAGCTTCTTGTCGGACAAGCATTCTAAAACAGGACGCAGAGCATTGCTCACAGCCTCTGGCAAATTGTACTTGCTTTTTCGGGATGGGCTCATTCCTTGACACGGCTGCATTACGCTTGCAGCAAGACTCGGGGCTGTGTAGACAGAAGCTGTGGTTTGATTTCTCGTCAGTGGATGTCACATGATGATACGTAGCCCACACAGCCTTGTGCATCTCATCCACATTCCCATAATGAGATTTCAAAGACCAGTCGTAATAACTCGTCAATTTTGTAATGAGGTCACCCGTGAGGCGGCCCTTGCCACTGATGCGCTCGCTGCTGTCCCCTTTGTGCTTCTGCACGAGGTTCCGAAGCACAGTCCCCATGCGCTTCAGCACATGGTTCGAGCAGTCTTCTTTTTCAACATTTATGAAGCTGTACACCTTAACTTCTTTGACAGCACTGTACGACCGGCTGTCACCATTACAAAGCATGGTGGTGTACCTGAGGCCATGAAGCGAAGGGGAGCGCTGGAATAAAATCATTGCTGCCTCTACTTCCATTTGGCCAGCATTGCATGAGGTATTTTTCTGGCATGAATGTTTGGCTTTCCATTCCGAGTATTCTGGGCTCTCGGGTTTTGGACCACATTCACAGCCAGAGAAAAAATTAGAAAGCACAACATAGTCTAGCACATAACCTAAAAAAACTTCTATCACAGTGGCTATTCCAATGTGAGAGGTGTGTCCTCTTGTGTGCCAGCTTCCATCAAAAGAGTTGGCAATATTTCCGAAATTGCCGAAATTGAGGTCCTTGTAGAGACACTATACCACTGTGGCACACTTAGTCAAATGTTCAGCACAAGCTCTCGTCGCTACTGGCTAAGCTTAATTTTCAAGTACTCTTGGAACGGTTTCGTGTGAAGGCCCTGATGTGAAACGCCGATAGCGGCAAAGATGTCATTCAGAGCTGTGTGACCATTCTCAGTGCCCTGAATTGCATGCGCCGAGCGAACGTTGATTTCGAACGGGTTGCAGTTACTACTGCCACCAACCCGTTCAGTTACTGCTACAGTTACTGCTACAGTTACTGCAACAACCAACTTCTCCGCAGTTGCTGCAGTGAAGCTTCAGCTTAACGGCTATGCCGTACTCACGCGCGTCGCGTTCTATGGTCAACTGACCACGGCACACTCAGCAAGCAAAATGTTCGTTTAGTCAACTGTTCACCATGTCGAGGTCAACCATGGTATACGTCGGGGCCGACAAACTTTTGGTGCCGCGATGACTTGCGAGAACACTCATTTTGCGATCGGTTGCCCAGACCAAGCAAAGTTTCGCTGCTTTTTGCTGGGCGCGACCCTCGATGAGTTCTCGGTCAGCCGATGTAAAAAATGTCGCGTCTATCCTCGCAGCTTGATCGCGCATACTTGAAGTACTGCAGGCAGCGGTCGCAGTCACCGCCACGCTTTCTCCGGCTGCGAGATTTGCTGCAGCAGCATTCTCTGCTGTCTTAATCACAAGTGGCAGCGTTCTTTCCTGGCGCCTTGTTGAAGTATCACCGCAATCAGCTGATTCTGACGGCACCATAGTCGCCGTCGCGATCGCTTGAGTAGCAACGCCTTCGTAGCGGAATCCGTCGCGCTCTTCCGCTGAGATTTGCAGATATCTTCGTCGACAGTTGCGATGATTTATGGCACTCTGAGCGCGTGTCGTCACTGGTAGAAGTTGTACCGATCAAAGGCTGCCTTTGTGTCGGGCTGCTGCATCGTGGTGACTGCCGGTCTCATGTCCCGCTCGGCTCCGAGGATGTAGCCTGCGCTGGCTGCGATGACTCCTTGGGCTGCACAGCACGTTTTTTCCATCGCTTGCCGAATTTGTGAAGTGTGCCGAACTTTCGAGCACGGTTCGGCATCTCGATTTCGATCGCAAAACTACAAAACTTCCGAAATGGGGGTGAAAACGCGCGTGTTTGCGGCCACGCGCGCGTGATCACCAGTGTTGTCAATCCCCGCGCTCCAATCACAAGCCGCTGTTCACTCACGTGACTGCTATGGACCAATGATACCGCACGGTTTTGTCGCTTGTTTTTGCCTGGTAGCGCAGACTGGCTGCAGCATTGAAGGTTCCTTCCTGGCGGGAAAGCTCAACAGATCTTTCAAAAGCGACTAAGATGGCCGCGATCCGATGAGTGGTTAGCGCAATCCTAGGGATGCAAAAGGGGGCTATTTCTGGCGATTTCGTAAGCGAAACCAAGTGCTGGGATGAATAAACACGACATTTCTTGGCTCAGCAACGTGTCATTTCGAGTTCATTTTTTGCTGGCAGGTGCGGGATGATATGAAGATAAGGAAAATCACCAAACTGAGAAATCTATTTTTTTGGGCGTTTTTTTTCGTCACCAAGACTTGTGTCCCCCCTTAAGAACGATTTTGTGATCAATTTAGGAACATTTTTACGTGATCGTAAAGTGATAAAAAACCTATACGAAAGGGTAAAAAATTATGCACTTCAATTCTGTATGTCCAAGTTCGTGAACATACAAAAATGAGGGCATGAAGAGGTATCAAGTTGAAACAGATGAGGGAGAAAAGCCACTTTTTATACAATCAGCATTGTCTCACTGCGCACGCTTTAGAGATTTCGCTCACCCAACATCTGAACCTTAACACCATTTTTCAGAGGTGTGTTCACACTGCTATACAAGTCTCCTGTATACATAGGCAGCTCTGAGCGAGTGTGAGGCTCAGCAAATCTAGGCAGGGTAGTATTTGATTTTGATATTAAAATCGATTCTCTCGTGCGCACCTACTGACATCGACACTAGCCTGACGTCGGGCTGCAGTACTAATTCTGGTTACTTCACTTGACAGTGTAGCTAGTTGTGATGATGTCAGGCACCAAACCTTCCAAAATAGCCTCTCATGTGTCACCAAAACATTCAAACTGATCGCCTGTGCATCACCAACGAAGCCACGGTGCCATGGGGCCATAGAAACGACGCGATATCTTGTTGCGACGCCAGGGTACCGTGGTAGGGAACTGAAACTAGCTTTCAGAAACAAACTGTAATTGCATTTTCAGAGCACACTCACACTTAGTAGTACATTTGCAAGTCTCTTGATGACTTGGCCGTTCATTTGAAGCAAAAAGAAAAATAACGGCTACAGCAAATTTTCATGTCTAGCAACAATTCGAAGGGATCACAGCTAGACTATCTTTTTCAGACAAAAAGTGGCACGCCCTTTCAGAGCATAAGCAAACTGTGCAGGTGAGTATATTGAAGAATATTATTTAGTTGTGAGCATGCATAGAGAGCAGAAACAAATGCGATACCTATAATAATCGTTTCTCTAATTGCGAATGCAAGGGAAGCAGTTTTTGCAAGTCGACGAACAGAAAATGCAACCACAGAGGCATCGTTTGTCAGTCAGTGCCTACACGGAAACAGCGGTACTCGCATACCCAGGAGCAACGAACAAGATAGTAACAAATACGTCACTTCTCGAAAAACTCTAAAAAAAAAAAAACCATCAGTTTGGCAGGCACAAAAAGTAGGAACTGGCCAGAGGATGAAAACAAAGCTAGCCAGCACATCACAGTAGTAGAGTATAAAAAAGAAATGTAGAGACATCAACACTAGAAAGAAGTTCCATGTATTCCTTCAATGTGCAGCACATGCCAAGCAAAAAAACATGTTCAAAAAAG